TCACACTCTTCCAGATTTGTTCAGAGTCTACTCTGAACTTGGCCTGGAGAAGTGTCCACTAACTGAGAAAAACTAGTCTCCTGCTTCCTTTGAAAGACAAAACTTTCTTCAAACTGGGCCTACTCAAGTTGTGTGTTACTGATTTGTAAGACAGTGCACCCTGAACCGTAACAGCGTGGTGCATGGAGACCTGCTCTGAGTAGTCCTGATTGCGCAGCTGCTGGTGCAGAGTTAAAGCTGTTGTGTTCCCAGTGCTGTAAACATGGGCTGTTGGCATGACCTTGATGCAGCTCTGGCTTGCTCCCCCTACCCTGGGGATAACCAAGTTTGTCCTCTTTGTGCATGTCCATTTCTGCAAAGTGCAATGGAAGTGGTGGACTTTATTAGATGGAAAGAGAAGAGCTGCCAGGCAGGTTTTATCACAGAAATCAAATATACTCATTTATTTCTCTGTGTGTGTAACATTTGGTCATTTTTTATTCTCTGACCTTGGGTCCTTTACAGAAGAAATATTACGCTAAAAATGGATGAAAGGAAAGTAAGACTCAGAGGAGGAAAGTGCATTGTTTAAAGCCCCGAGCAGGTTGAAGCATGAGCTGCAAATGCGATTCTTATGTCCCGAAACTTGACTGTGTGCTACGCCCCATTGCATTGCAAGGTTGAAGTTTCTTGTAATGGCAAAATACGGTCTTGAAAAAAATGGCTGCAAAGATTTTATTTGTTTAAACAAAGGCTTTGTGATTCCAGAATTCTCTCCCCTTTCGTATGCTATAAACCACCTCCTCCGCCTCCCCTCTGAAATATGAATTTTGGAGTAATCCATCAAGAAAAAGAGAGACAGAGCCTTGATCCCTTGACTTCAGTTGAGCTGTGCAATTTATATCTACTGAGCATCTGGCTGTAGGGAAACCAAAAGCCCTTTTAATATTCTGCAGAGACTCTAGGTATACAAATGAGCGTGGGCTGTCAGAGCTGAGAAATGGGGCAGAGATGCCAAGAGGTTTCTTTGCTGTTTTGCACAAAACTCTGACCTGCGGCCCTATGGTGAAAGTTGGCCTGTTTTTTTTTTTTTTTTTTACTCCTCAGTGCCACTGTGATAATTGTGCTGAAATCATTAGAGCCCCATTGGTATAAAGCCGTTATCACGCCTTTCTTGTTTCAAGTGAGGAGTTTGAAGACTTGTGGGGCTTTCAGCCTTGAGCAGCTGAATTGTGCAACTATTTAATCATGAAATTATGCAAACGCTGCTCGAGCCCTGCAAAGCTGGAATACCAAGTTAGCAAGGCACCCGAAGTCAGTCCTTCACTGCTGTAAGACGCTTGTTGTAGGAACGTATCCGGAGTGGAAGCCACAGGCTTACAGCCCGGTGCCTGTTTGCAAAGCTGCAGCGCTGGAGGCACTGGCTCAGCCTTTAATCGAAGATCGGTCAAATGTAGCAACCATTAGATCAGGGTTAAGTGGGTCACTGCTGGCACAGGGTACGTGACTTGTTATTTTTCAGCATGCCGAGTCTACCACATCTCTGATACGTTAGACTTTTCTTTCCCTCCAGTTGCATTGCTTTACCCACGCAGCTGGAGAGGGGGAATGGGAGGGTGGGAAGGGAGAGGTGTGCTAGGACAGTAACAGCGAGACATTATGGAGACGGACTGGGTGTCATGCGATATGCTGGTACAGTCTCATGTTCATTATCTCAATTATTTATCCTCCCTGCTGGAACACTTCTAAAACAAATCCTACCATGTGTTTTGAGGTTGGGCTTCATAGAGTGAAATCACAGCTCCTTTCTCGGAGTTTAGCTGGAAAAATACAAATCTGCCAACTAGGAATATGAGGGAAATAAACTGTGGTTCTGTGTAGCAACAAGTGATGGATTTCTGCAGATATGGAAAGCGTCTGCTCTGGAGTTCCAGGTCAGAGAGTATGTGTATTTGCCCCAACGTTATATTTGTTGCATGTGAAATAATGATGTGAGATTCTCAAGCTCGTTTTAATAAAGCAGACTGCTTTCACCCTGATCAGAAAATTCAACTTCACAGTCCCAGGCCTTGGAACCACCAGCCATCAGGATTTAGACACTAAATACTTCAGTGCATAGTAGTCAGGGAAGATATTTATTAGCTTGATTTGTCACCACCATTCTCAGGCTTTCTGCAAGGACAGATAACGACCCCAGACCTTGAAGCAGCCTGGTCCCCGGTGTGTTGTGAGTGAGCTTTGAACGTAGTTTCTGTAACTGCAGTGCTGACCATTCATCTCTGTGTTTGAAAGCATCGTCCGTCTGTTGGTTAGATAAACAAATGTCACAAGGATTTTTTGGCAGGGTGACCAACAGAAGATCTTTTGCATTAGGACATCCACTTTCTGGATTAGTTAAATGTCTTTTGGGTCCAGGCGAAGTACCTTGGGTGTGGATCTGGGTTTCCAGGCATTTCACGAAGGAAAGAATCAGAGTTCAAATCCAACTTGAGCTTAAGTAGTTCTCTTTCTGACCTGTGCTGTGTTTTCTATATGTTTCAGCGGACGTCACTGACATGAAGATGATATTAGTACAAATCTCACCATGCAGTGGCACTGCTGTTTCCTCCCCCCATCTGTCATTTTGTTCATTTAAATCTAACCTTGTGCTGCAAACACACGAGAGGGCTCTTTGAGACACTCTTCAAGAGCAGAGAGGGCTGCTGGACTGGTGCTGTTGGTACATTCTGTCCGGCAGAGACGATCAGACTATCCTCCCCCCCGGGAGCTGGTTGATTCACCCCTGTGCAGAGGGGTAGTACAAGCCCTTTTTTATGAGCTGAGCTCTCCAAAAATAGCTTAAATGATCAATCCAACTCAAATTATGCACAGAGATGGTTTTCAGACAGTTCAAGTCAGTCTCTCTAAACCTATGGGAGTTATTAATATGTGCAAGCCAGCAGAAGGGAGAATAGGACTCCATATTTTATTTGCTCTGTAACACATCTGGTACGCCTTTTGGCTCTTGGGAGCACTGGATTTATTCAGTCTTATCTTTCTATGGGGATGAGCAAGATCAAAAGCATGAAGCCGGTTACATGCAGAATGTAATTCCCTATTTTACACACCACAAGCAGATCCAGACCAAACAAGACTCACCCATTTCCTTCCCTGTGGGACAACGCGCTTATGGCACTTGCGTATTCATGGGCCAAGTCAAGCCAAAAAATATTGCCCAAGATCTATTGCAGAGAATAAAAATAAACAAATATTATTTCCTGTTGGGTGAAAGAAAGTCCATGTCAGTATTGACCAGGAAATCCCTCAATCTAAGTGTTTCTGAACCATCAGATGCTTTGTCTGCAAAATGTTGGGTATTGTGAGGTGGAAGCTCTATGTCTAGCTCCTTTGAGAAGCTATGCAGCTCCTCATAGATAGTCAATGAGAGAATTTTTTTGGAAGGTTTATGCAGTGGATGATTGGTTGCTGTTAACACTCAAGCAATCTTCTTGGGCTGTAAATCACTAACGTGGAACAGCCAAGCTTCCTGGCCCTCTGAGCCATGCGCTAAAATCTTTGCATGGCTGAGAGCCATCAGTACATACCATGTGCTTCATAAAACTGGAAAGTGTTTGTGGATGAAGATTGGAGAGATTCCTTGGGGCTCCTTGTGCAAAAGGGGACAAAGCTTCTTAGGGGGGACAGCTGAGTCCCAGGTGTCGGGGTGATGTTTAGTCAGGCCAAAACCCACATTCACCCATTTGTCCCCATAGGTAGGCACTGGGTTTACTCAACATCCCCTGCATCAGTACAACCTCAGCCTGAGCTGCACATGGATGGTCTACTAAGGAGCTCAAGAATCACAGGTCAAGCCTCCCCAGCCCTACGGAAATACCAGGATTAAATACTTCTGTGGCCAGTCAATGAAAACTGGCTCTGGCCCTTAAGGAGCCCAGAAACGCAGAGAGATGTATTTGTCCTCTGTGGGACATGAGATGGCAGTGATTCATCACCTGAATATGGATGGTTTATTCTCTGAAATACTTCATGCTGCAAGTCGTTTTCCCTTTTTAAAAACTGCTGCGCTTCAGAAGTCATGGTAGGTGAGTGATCCAGTCTGGAAAGCTTCTCAGAGAGCTGGGAATGGGCAGTTCAACACTGCTGCAAAGCGCTGGGGAAGTGCCTTGTTGACTGTCTCTGTTCAGGGCTTTATCCTCCTTTGCTCACTTTAAAATTGCTGAAATGAAAACAGAGGCAAAGCAGCAGACCTTCTGTTGACGTAAGTGATGTCCCTTGTATCAAGCAATGATTTTAAACTGCACTCAGAGCCCATTGTGTTAATGTTTGTTCTTGCTAAGGCATCCTGTCAAGACCCTTTTGGTGGTTGCTACCTATCTGTTGCTTCTATGCAGCGAAGTGAGATGGAAACCACTTCATGCTGCAGCTCCGGTCTGCATCAACCCTGGGGTCTGTCTTGGATTTTCGTGCTGTCAGACAGATGATTTATTGTGGAAGTGGTAACAGGGCCTGGGAGTCCAGGAATGGAGCAGGATTCCACAGAGATGGGCATTTTGTATGTTCATTGATTTTCTCGGTATTCGACCAGGACCTAGTATAGGAAAGGGTATAGCACAGAGCTAAATGGAAGTAGTGGTTGTGTGGCCTGAAGTCCTGTGAGGTGGCAGCACGTGCCACACCACCTTGCACCACTGGCAGAACAAGTGTCTCTGCTGGTGACAACAGGTCATGCTGGTTGGCACCATGAAAAGTCTTACAACTAATTTTTTCTTCACCTACCTTCTACCTATTGGGAACTTGGTTTCACACTCTGCCCCACTAAACAAGCCCAAACAAGGCTCCTGTGGCTGTGACTGTTTACCTGTGCAATGGGTTTGAATACTTATTTTCCCCCCATAACTGATCTTGAGTCACTTTTCTGTGTGTCTTGGATCAAAAAAGGATCAGCGTCTGCAGGCTGAAAGCCGTGGATTAAAATGCAAAGTATGTAGAAATTTTACATCATTTTGTTTTGTTCTTTCTAGAATGCATGAACTGCACGAGACTAGCGGATATGACCGAGAGGCTAAACACACTTGAGGCCAAGGTAAGGACCTGCCTTTATTCTTCTGTTTAGCAAAAATTTCCAAGAGTTGCTGCTGAAAAAGATGTTGAGTTGGCAGCCCTGGAGAGATCAGGTGTCTGTTCTTCTGTCTACAGCGAGGAACACGCTGTGGTGGTGGTCCTGCCCCAGGGAACGAGGGCAGCGTTGCTGTGCACGTGGGCATCGCTCACCTCTGGCCTGGCTCCTTCTGCTTCCTGCACATCCTCTTCAGCTTCGCTCTGCCACACAGCTGCATCTCTGTCTCCCTTCTTCCCTGCTGTCACAAATGTGCAGCTGCTAATAAATAATAAATAGCTCATTGCTCTCGTCTGGAACACGTTGGCTCAGGCTTTGCTCCAGAAACAGAGGGCAGACGGAGCTGTGTGAAAAATCTCTTGCCTTCAGCTGGTTGATAATGTGGGGATGTAAAGCAGTGATTCCCCTGGCTCAGGAAAGAAGCAGACTCCCAATTCTGGTCTCTCTCACTAAAAATGCCTTGTAGAAACCTTACCAATGTAGAGCGCAAAACAGAGTAGTAACGGTACATAGGTTTTTCTAAGAATAGTTGTTCATTAGCCTGCTCTTCAAGTGCTATCCAGTCTTGCTTTTTTATCCCTTTTCTGAAAGATGGGAGGGTTTCGTGCGTGGTTTAGTGGAGACAAATGTTAAGGGGAGACCTACACGTTGTGGGGGGTTTTTTCTGCAAATTGTCTTAATTTCTACCTACTGGGATTCAGATAAATTGTTCCAGTCTAGCAACAAAACAGCTGAATCAGTCTGTCCGCTTTGAGCTCTGGTCCCCCCTGTGACAGCCCAATCCTGGCTGTTAGATATGGTGCTTTGGTCCCTTTAAGGCATTGTGCTGCTGTTATTATTCATTAACTGCTGGTTATCAATGACATAAAAGAATTTGGGGAGAAACCTTTGTGGAGGGGGGTGGTGGATGCGTGGTGTTTTTGAGGCTAGTGCATGATATTATGGTAATTTGGGAATTGTCTGTGCTGAAATGGAGTGAGCAATGTTGTCTGGAACTTCCTCAAAGCCTTCACAGTTGTATTTCACTTACAGGAAAATGAAGGGGTGGGGGGAATGAAATTCTGGGGAGCAGAATTGTTCGAGTGAAAACAACTGTTGTAGTGCAAAGGACAAAGATGAGCTGGATTGTTTTTCCAAGCAGCGGGACCTGGCAGGTGGGTGTTCTTTGGCAGCGAGGAGCTGGAGGCGTTTGGAGAGGAGAGAGGGGCTGGTGACTGACCTCTGCGTGTGCAGTCCCGAATCCAAGTAAGACATGGGACCAGCCTCAGAGAGACGTAAATCAGCCCTCCCATGCTCATCCTGTAGCCAGCTGTACCTTCCTTTGCTTTCCAGGGCTTTCTGTATTTGGCTCACTGGGAAATGATAACCAAAGACTGTCCTGACATCAGAGCATCAGTGCTCTGCTGGCTTGTGCTGCTCAGCACTTGTGTCGGGTAACAAAGCGTAAGAGGCTAATGGCAACCTCAGCCGGGGCCCCGGCAGGACTTCATGGAAGAGGAAGGAAGTCCTACCTACCCAAATCCCCTCGAGAAGTCTTAGCCCAAGAGTGAAACTGCACCCAGGTCAGTGGGTTTGTCTTACAGATATGAAGCTGGTTTAAACTGGGTGACACTCCCATCACCTGAAAGTAATCTGCTCTCTGGTGTTGGCACCAACTGCCAGATGCCCACAGTATTTGGGAAGTGCTGCCTGCTTGCCTACTGCATGGGAGCTCTAGTGAAGGCAGGAGCCTGTTGTCTCCTACTCTAACCTAGGATACTTGTGCAGGGACTGGCATTTGTCTCCTGACTGGCAAACCTGACGTGCTGTCCTTAGGAAATGCTTCCTATGTTGGCAGCCATATGGCTGCAACCTGCTCTGTGTTCAGGAGGGAGCACTGAGTCACCATCAACAAACACAGTGTTGATGGCTGGAGACTTCGTAGTCTTGTAGACCTTCTGACATGAGGAACAGTGAGGCGAATGCCTGCAAAGTTCAGTGCCAAGATGTAGCTAGCCAGATCCTGGAGATGATACCTGAAGGATTTTGGTACTGCCTCAGTCCCAGCCATAGCCAAGACCACACCACCTCCTCTCTGCCTTCTTGGGAGTGGGGCTTTGGGTAACTTGATTCTTTTCAGCTCTTGATCTTGGGTGTAGTGCATCATGTCTCTGTTTTAGTGCTGCAGTGAGGCAGTTTGTGTTGTTGCTGTGATGGCTTTCCTTCTGTCTTTACTATGCTCCCACAGAGACCCAAGTTGGGAGCAAAGCTCATCAAAGGGTTTACTTTTACAGAGGGAAATGAGTTATTTCTTTCTATTGTGAAGTACTAAAGCCCATATCTCTGCAAGGGTGCCTTCTGCAGCACAGCCCAGCAATGTCATTATCAATCTTTTGGATTCCACTTTGTTTGAAAAGCTGTGGGTGCTGTGCAAAAATTGATTGTAGCAATTAAATGGAGAGTGAAGCAACATTACCCGAATGCTGGTGCTGTTCACAAGAGAAATATGCTGATTCACCCTTTTTTCAAGGTTAATTTAAGTTCAGTTTGATCTATGTAGCAATGTCATGACCTCAGTTGTTGTTATTCAGTAACAGCTAGCACCATTAAAAGGTGCTTGAATTTGTTTAGTATTGTCTGTATTCCTGTTCTGGATTTTGGAGAAAGATTTCTATTTTGCCGGATGATCGGGATGTGAAGTTGTCTCTGAGCTCTCCAAACTGTCGTCTTGTAATGTCTTATTTCACCACAACAACAGCCTGAAGCTGGTCGGAGGAAGACAGGAGTCATGGGATGGGCACACACATCCCTTACCAGTGTTGGTGACTGATCCCCCCCTGATTTTTGCTGTCTTGTTCTGCAGAGGCAGATGTGGAAGTTCATCCTTCCTATGAGCAGAGATGGATTTTCCTGCCACAGTCCTGCTCCTTCTGGAGACAGCTGAAGTTGAGGAGCTTTGCTGCTTTTGCTCTTTTGAATTTCAGCCCAGCATGACCATGGTGAGCTCAGGGAATGGCAATGGGTAAGATCAGCCAGCTCAGCATAGCCAGCCAGCTTCAAGCAGGTCAGGCCATTGGCACCTGCTGTAAGGGCTTTTGAGGCATGTGGAGCCTGTGTAGACTTGTTACAAGTACTGCAAGGTCCAATGGTGAGAGCAAACGTGTGGAAAGCTACCTCTGAAGGCACTGTGGACCTGGGCAGATTGGTGCTGGGTGAGAAGTTTTGCTTTAGTAGAGTAGGTTAGAGACAAGCAAAAAACAGTCTTCCTCACACCTCTGCAATGGGGACAAGGAGCCAAAACCCTTTCTTGGTTATGGCCAAGGATATGTAAAGTGCATGTTTGTCCTCCAGTGGCTGTGAAAGGCAAGTTAAGGAAACTTAAACTCAGTCATGGAAGAAGATGATACAAGACTCTGGTTTCTTCTTTCTCCACTCTTCTTCTACAGGCTTTTATAGCTGTCCCCCTGAAAAACGGGGATATAACCAGGAATGGTCTCATCTTTCTTATTACAAGGATGAGTTGGTTTATCCAACTTGTAAGATCAGTGTCCAAATGAGGTAATAAAAGTAACCCTCTGATTTTTGTAATATGAGAGTTGGATCAGAAAGCAAGAAGCAAGAATAAACACAGAGCAAATGGAATGAAGAATGACTCATTAGGGACTGGTGCTTATATAGCCCTTGGGGAGGAGAGAGACTCTGAGACATGGCTGAACTGTGCAGCAGAACAAACTCTTCATGTGTCTTATGCTTTCCTTAACGCTGCTCTAGGTTGTCCTTGTGGCTGTAAGAGATGTTTCTGCAGGAGAGGAGATGAAGGGAGATGGAATCAGGTTCCATCCTCGTCTCCCCTGTTTCGAATTACCCTGTCATCTCCCAAGGATGGAGTTGGCCTGTTCTATTTGCTTGATACCAGACCCATTTGGGTGCCAGAGATTTGAAAGCTTGATTGATGGTGTTGAGCTTGAAATGTACAGGCCATGGGAATCTACATCAGGGAGGATGGTGTTGAGCCTGGGGTCAAGGACAAGAAAGTGTGCAGGCCAGAAGAAAACTACCCCCTCCCCAAGCCCCAACATACCAAACCATACTTCTCTCCCATGACATCTTACTTGACATCACTACAGCACCCCCTGACCCTGCGGGGAGGCTCATTGGTGGGAGGGCAGAATGAACCCTGCTTTTATTTCATATGAAAGGTTTCTCCTTAGGCCAGCATGGCTTCTTAGTGGGAAGAGTGTACAGCCCTTCCTTTCTGAATTTCCTGAGCCTGACGCTGCCCTCCTGTGTTACAGGACTAAGCCCAGACAAACTCCACCAAAGCTCAAGGGAGCTGCAGTGTCAAGAGAGAGCTAGCAGGCAGTGCTAGCAGGAAAGCAGGCAGCTGCATAAAAATTTCTGCTCATTTTGTTCGCCCAGTTTCTTTTAATAAACTCCACCACAGAGCTATGGGCAGTGCTATATTAATCCCAGCTTTTGGTTGGAGCTTGAGTGCAGCATTTGATCTGAGTTGATATAACCCAGTCTTATCTCCTGACACTGCGTTTGAGAAGATCGTGGCATTTCGCTTACAGCTTTAATGCAGGGAGATAACGTTGCATATCTAGTGTCTGATTGATTCATTGTGTGATTGATAAATGACATGCATATTTTTCGCATGAAAACAGTCCTTGTAATGTGATTCTCCATGCAGAAGATTCTGAAAGGTTTTAAAGAAAATCTTTGTACTGTGCACAGAGTTTGATCAATACATTGCTATTTATATGAAGTCACCCCATTTATTTAGAACGGATTACCTCACAACACCTTCACTACCCTGTGTCTTTTGATTATGAAGGACCATTACTTGGAGTTTTAATGTAATCATAGTATGAAATGTTTCTGTATCTCTCCCTTCTTCCAAGCAGCTACATGAAATACTGGCAGCTGTCTGGGATGTTTTATGGGGTTTGTCTTTTCTTTCTCCGATAGACAATAAAACAATTTTC